TCCAGTATCCACAATCTTCTCCATTTTATCTGATTTCGCCTTATCATTTACAACCTGATGATGGATGTTATTCAAGCAATCCGCACCTCCTCTGTCTTCAGGTTTTCTTCTGTTATTGTCTTCCTTAGCTTTACCTTCTACCCCTCCTTTGATAAATTTCCTGTTTTTGAAATGGACATGTATCCATGGACCATATTCTGATCATATATTCTCATTCTCTGCTTTTTGAAACATATCTTCATTATTCTTTGTTTTCTTCTCCACCTGATTTTCGATCCCCTGCAAATCCATGGACCATATTCTGATCATATATTCTCATTCTCTGCTTTTTGAAACATATCTTCATTATTCTTTGTTTTCTTCTCCACCTGATTTTCGATCCCGTGAACAACCTTAAGTGGGCATTCCTTTACATCATGTCCCACACAACCACATTGATAACAAAGAGAATGGATTTTCTCATATTCAACACGCTGAAAAAATCTACCCGCTGTTCCCTCTATCCATACTCCATTTGGCAATTTCTTCTCCAGATCGATCTTTACGCAAATTCAGGCAAATTCTCGCTTCCCCCATCTAAAAGTATTCCCGTCCAAGTACATAGGTGTACCAATACAAGAGGCAATCCTTGACAAATTGTCTTCATCCCAGTAGTACAGTGGAAGACAAGGGAATCTGATCCAAATAGGAGCAAAAATTCCTTTGAAAGAGTAAGGATCAAAAGCCGGAGACCACCTATCCATACCAACAATACATCCATTAACATACCATGGTCCTCCGTTTAAAATCTCTTCTACCACTTCATTGTTTTAGAAAGAGAAAAGAATCCAATTCATGCCAATTGTAGTCATATGGAATCCACCAAACATATTCCATTGTCTTCTCAGTTCCACGCTACATACAGAGAATGGTATATTGTTACCAAGAACCTTGATCACAATAGAGTGCTTCAGAACATCTGAATTCTTAGATTCCTGCACCGAATTTAGCTTAACAGCGATTCCATCCTCAGATAATTCAACTTTTTTTGAATCAAACATAATCTTGATATGCTTCGATTTCGTCCAGGCTCCTTCAATCCTACTGTTGTTACTTTGTTCATTGTCTTCCAGTAATCTGTTCTCCAAAGTTTCTTTAATTAATTAATCTTTTCCACCTGCATTCCTTTCTTCATTACCCTCATGATTTTTCAAATTTTCTTTATCTGCAATGTCAATAGGGACTTGACTATCTCTAATCGAGCTAGAAAATCCTTTAACCTTCAAGATCGGTTCCTCCGTCTCCAAAGGACAAAGAAAATCCGAGTTTGTTATACCAACATTCCCAAAAGCAATTGGATTATACTGAACATCAGACCTATCTTTCAAGATCTTCTTACCTTTACCTTCAACCAAGGCCGGACGAATCTTCAAATTCACCCCATCTTTGATTACCACACCGATCCTTCCTTTGCTACCACTGCAAAGATTAGCTGAGTGCCACGGGACCTCCATTATATCGGCACGAAAAATCGATGAACTCCCGGCGGCGACGCTCTCAGCCGCGAGCAAGAAGCGCGGGAGAACAAAATTTGAATTCTCTCTCTAGAAAAAAACCAGACATTCTCTCTCTAGAAGTTTCGCCTACTTTTCCATCATTCAACCATGCATTTAGGGTGATGTTCTGGATGTTACTCAATGATTTGAATTCGTAGATCTTCTTGGATAATAATGTCAGTTTGTTGCAATTAAGAGAAAATCCAAAGCTCTTCTATATAAGACTTCTTGTTTACCCAAAATTATATTTTTTGCTGCTATTTTGACCTAAGAGAGCCATGAGGAGAGGGAGAGTATGGGAGAAAGAGAGAGGATCTTATGAGAGGGAGTTTCTAAGGGTTTTCACAAAGGTTGCTCCAGGCAAGGATCCAAGTTATCTTCTTCGATCGTCGTCCCTAGTTCCTTGGAGTTTTGAGAGAGGTCTACTTCAGCAACTGATCAAGGTTCTTTGCCTACTATAGGAGGAAGTGAAAGGAGTTAGGTTCTCTGTCTGCTTTAGAAGGAAGTTAAAGGAGTTGGGTTCTCTTCTTCACCAGTGTCAGTGGAAAGGAGGTTTGTACAGGCTTCTCCTCCTTGTTGTGGGAGCAAAAGGAGAACCACTGAGTTTAGTGCAATACCTGGAGGAGAGGCTCCGGGGAGTGGACATAGGTCAAGTTGACCGAACCACTGTAAATTTCTATGTTCTTTCTTACTACTTTTTCTCATTAAATTTCCGCACTTTGATTTTCTTATGGTGATTATTGGTTTAGTTTTTCAGCACTTGCCACATAGATATTTAATTTTGAGTATTTCTATTAATTATTGATTTATTTAATTTTATTACGCATTAGAAATTACATATCTTTTCTAGTTTTTTTATTGCATGCCGCATTTCTTTTTCCCTGATTCTATTGGAGGCTCATCAGACCACGTTAAAAATCATTTATGATATTATTAAATTTAAAATATTTATGTTAATATAGAATTTCTAAAAAATTTAAGAAGTAAGCTCGGATTACCGAGGGTCTCATGCAAACATTTTAAATACTTTTATTCCTTGTTAGGTACCTCCCTTCCTTCGAGTTCTAGTAGGCCACTTCACCTATTAGGGTGCAGTTCTATAAACGGGAAGTTGTGCAATATCTAGAGAAAAATCTAATTTTAATACTTTTTTAAAACTACTTCATATATGATTTAAGAATTCATCTTGTAAAATAGCATGCATTGTTGAATCTTATATTATTTTTTGTTTAGCAAAGACTTCCTTTTTTAAAAAGTAGAGAGAGAATGTCTGAGGAAATTTCATACTCTAGTTTGTCTTTTTCAAATTTTGACGTTTGCGGGATTTCCGGCTAAGTGGAAATGGCGAAGGATGGCCACCGGCTAGCTTTGGCCGGTGGTACTCTGGACATACGAAGATCATCGGTGGGATTAATTCAGAATCAAAATTGATCTTTTAGGAATTCACCTCCAGCATTTGGTGACGATTTTTCTGCTACTTCTCAAGTTTCAAATCCTGTGAAGAGATCGGGCATTTTTATTAATGAAGGAGGTTTCGTTTCATCGAATAAGATCCCTGAATTGGTGGGAAAGGGTAAAGATGTGATTGAAGATATTTCTGTGAAGTCTCAGTTCATTACAGGGAAGAAATTGGGAGTTCTACTGAAACAAAAATCAAATGAAGAAGCATCTCCGCCTTTCAGTAAAAAGCTTAATGTAAGAATGAATTTGGAAGGAAATAATTGTTCGGGTGTAGCTGTTGTTGAGACAGGAATTTATATTCCTGATAATGTAGTCTTATCTTGGAAAGATGTTACTGCGAATAATAAGAAAAATATTGAAGACAATGAAGCAATTGAGAATGCAAAGGATGCTGATTTGAACTTTATTCGTGATTGTAATACAGGGGAGCTGGGAAATTGCATTAATCATAATGTTATTCCGACGAGAAGTAATAATGTTGTTCAGCCTAATGTTTGGAGTAAGAAATTAAACATTAAAGTTGCAGATTTGGATCTAGGTGATTTCTTATCTGAAGATGGAGAATTTGTTAAACTTCATGCTGATAAGGAGATTGAAAATACCAGGAAGCTTCAATATTCTCTTGTGGTTAAATTCTTTGGTAATAATGTGCCTTTTCCCATTGTTAGTACTAAATTAAGAAGGCAATGGTCTTCTTTTGGAAAATTCCATCTTACTATGCTCGGTATGGACTGGGTTTTATGTTCTTTTTATGAAGAAGAAACTATGGAAGTGGTCCTTTCTAATGGAGCTTATTTTGTCAATGGACAAATTATTGTGATGGACAAATAGACTCCCAACTTCAACCCAAATTCTTTAAAAGGTCTTACTGCTCCTATTTGGGTTAGAATGCCAAACTTACCTCTTCAAAGTTGGGATGAAATAAACATTTGTAGAATTGCCTCAATGATTTGGAAGCCAATCATGATTGATGGGAATATGTTCCAATGGGGAGAAGGGAGTTCGGAAGAATTTGTGTTCGTATCAAGTTGGATACTCAACTTCCTCTTGGTGTATGGGTTGAAGGAAGTACTGGTAAATTCTTCCAAAAATTGGAATATGAAAGGCTTCCTAACCTTTGCTTTGAATGTGGAAAACTTGGTCACTTAAAGAAAGATTGCAAAGACAAGACATTGGGAGGGATCAATCTTTCAGCTGGAAATAATGATATTCAGGAAAAGGATTCCTTAAATACCAGTATTTTAATTGGTCCATCTGTGAATGCTGAGAAGACAAATGAAGGCTATGGACCATGGTTACTTGTGGACTATGAGAAAAATAAATATAGAAACTTTGGTTTCAGAAAAATTTTCTCAGAAAACAAAGGAAATCAGAGTTCTTATAATGCTGGTGGATTTTCAGATAATCTGAATCAAAGCTTGGTGAAGAATGGTAAGAAGATTTGGAAAGAAGTTGGCTTGTTGATTCCAGGAAATTCAGTGAATCCTAAAATGACTGATTTGGAACCTCGACATAATTCAGAATTGGTGAATGCTGCTGTTGGATCTAAGATAAATGAAGTATCTCTTAATTTGTCTAATATTGATGTTAGTACTAAATTCAATATGCTAGACAATATGGTGGAGGAGGGTGAGATTGTAGACAATGATAAAAATTTGGACTCTGTTGGCAGAGATGTTTTGATGGCTGTTAACTCAATAAATTTAGCTAGTATGACTGGCTATAAAAAGAAGATGAAATGAAGAAAGGTAGTTCTTCGAATCTGAAAAGGAAAGGATCCAATCAACTTAAAGGTCTTGGACCTATTAACTTGGCTCCTAGGAGTAGGAGAGCCGATAGTGAAGGTAAGGATAAGTTGGGGATTTTTTCCCCTCTTGTTCAATGAATTCTTGCATTTTGTTTTGGAATTGTAGAGGAGCTAGGAAGAGGAAGGCTTCTCTATACTTGAAGGAGGTGGTGAAAAATCATTGGATTTTTTTCATTGGTTTACTTGAAACTAAAGTTATGAGTTTTGATAGAAAGGATGTGGACCTTCTGATTGGTCAAGATTGGGACTTCTTTCATGTTCCTTCAGAAGGTTTATCTGGTGCTTTGCTTGTACTATGGAAGGCTAACTTTGTTAGATTTCAAATTGTGGAATTCTGCTCTCAATTCATTATTGGTGATTTGGATATTCCCAATAAAGGGAATTGGAGGATTGCTTCTATATATGGCAATAAAGATGCTTATAAGAGGAGGAGGATTTGGGAAAGGTTTGAAGTGTACTCTTCAAAGGACCTTCCAATGGTGTTGGGAGGTGACTTTAATTGTATTCTTTCTAAAGATGACAAGACGAGAAGGAAAAGATTCTTGTTTTTCCTTGGACCCAAAGAGATGAAATCATTCCTAGCTCTTAATGACTTTCATGAAGTTGGTTTTGTATGTTCAAAATTCACTTGGTGTAACAACAAAAAATGTGGAGATCGAATCCTAGAAAGGCTTGATAGATGCTTTCTAAATTCGGCTGCATTAAATTCTCCTCATAGATTGGTGGTGAGGCACTTGGCTCGGGTTGCTTCGGATCATTGCCCTGTTGTTTTAAATCTTGTGGTGCAGAATTCAGCAAACAAAGTTCTCAGATTTGAAGAAGTTTGGGCTTCTAACAAAGCTTCAGTTGCTGTGATCAAAGGTATTTGGAGGAAAAAATTGATGGAAGTTATTCACAGATTTTGAATCTTAAAATGGAGAAAGCTCTCAAAAGTCTTTACTTTTGGAGTAAGGCTAAACATTTTAGCCTTGTTAAGCAGAAGGAATATCTGTTAAATATTATAGAAAATCTTCAATCTAAGGAAGAAAATGAAGGTGAACTATCTGAGGAGGAGAGTTGGTTATTATAAGTTAAAGTCTGTGAATTGAACTCTACTCTAGCAAAATTGGATACTTGGTGGAGACAAAGAGCAAAGGTCAAATGGTTGAATGAGGGAGATAGAAACACAAGGTTTTTTCAGGCTTATGCTTTGGCAAGAAGGAGTTCTAATTAAATTGCTAAAATCAAAGATGAGAATGGTATCATAGTTGAAGATCAACATCAAATAGAAAATGTGTTGATTCAGTTTTTTAAAAACAAATGGAGGCATAGAAATTGCAATCTTATGGATTGGTCAGCTCCGTGGAGAAGGTTGGAAGATGGAGAGAGAGTACTTTTAAACAAGTCTTTCTCTATTCAAGAGATGGAAGAGGTGATCAAGTGCAGTGGTTGCAACATTTCCCCAGGTAATGATGGCATCACATTTTCCTTCTTTAAAGCATATTGGGAGATTATTAAAGTTGATTTATGGAATGCTATTAACTTCTTCTTTCAAATGGCTTATATGGATCCTAAATGGAAGGAAACTATTATTGTTCTCATTTCTAAAATTAACAACCCCTTGACTCCTAATAACTTTAGACCAATTAGCTTGTGTAATTCGGTCTACAAGTTAGTTGCAAAGATGTTAATGAATAGATTGTCTTCTTGCATTCCTAAGCTCATTTCGAATGAGCAAGCTTCATTTGTGAAAGGGAGATCCTTATCTGATCATGTTTTGGTGGCTCAAGAAATAATGCATAAGTTCAGAATTTCCAAATCAAAGAAAGGGCTGGTTGCTTTCAAAATAGACATGGAACAGGCCTATGATTCTATGGGTTGGCAAGCACTGGAAATGGCTATGGTGTACTTCGGTTTTCCAACTAGATTTATTAAACTGATAATGGAATGTGTTAGAGATTCCAATTTTTCTATTTTAATTAAAGGGAATTACACTTATTGGATAAGTGGGAAAAGTGGATTTAGACAAGGATGTCCCTTGTCTCCATTTCCCTTTATCCTTTGCTCTCAATTGTTATCAAATGCCTTTAAACTCAAAGAGGATTCCATTGGGGTTGGGTTGAATATGAAAGGACCTAGAATCTCCCACTTACTCTATGCTGATGATGTATTTATCTTTTCTGAGACAAATCTGAAGATTATCAAAGAAATCAAATTGATTTTGGAGAATTTTTGTGGTTGGTCAGGTCAAAGGATCAACAATTCTAAATCATGTATGATTTTTGGAAATTCTGTAAAGAGAACTAGAAAGAAGAGGATCTCTCGGCTTATGGGGTTCAAAGTTGTAAAGGAAATGTACTATCTTGGGATCAAATTAGATTTGAGAAGATTAAAAAGGGAAGATTCCATTTCATCATTGAAAAGGCTATAAAGATGACTAATGTTTGGGGAGGTAAAATGATTTCTTTACCTGGTAAGATTTTACTTACCAAATCCAATCTTCTTGCTTATATTACTTTCCAATGCACCAACTCTTTGGTTCCAAAGAGTATTCTTGATGAAATAGATAAGATTTGTAGAAACTTCATCTGGAACAAAGCAAATGGGAGTCAAGGTATGCACTTTGTCAATTGGGAAACTATGTGTCTTCCTAGAAAATGGGGAGGTAGATCACTATACTCTTGTTCATCCAAAGTGGGAGCTTTAAGAGCTAAATTAGCATGGAAATATGTTGACAACAAAGACTCCTTAATTCATAAAATGCTGTACTCAAAATATGGAAATTTGTGGTCTGATAATTCAAGAATTTCGGGTTCTTCAGCATGGAAAATCATCAAGGATGGAGGTAAATCTCTAAGAACTTTGATTAGATGGAAAATTGCAAATGGAGAGGGAATTGATGTTTTCAAAGACACTTGGATTTTTTATAAAAGCATTTGTAAATGGCCAACTTTTATCATTCCTCATGACAGCAGTAATCTGTAGGTTTCTAATTTTATTTCCAATGGGAGTTAGAATGAAGAAGAATGGAAGAAATATGTGGGCAAGGAGCTGCTTAATCTGATCTCCCAAGTTAAAATTCAGCAGGATATGGAGGAAGATAAAATGGAATTACTATATTTTAATACAGGGAAATCTCTTTCAGCAATGGTGTTTGAATCTCGTTGAAGAGCAAATACGTGCAGCAGTTCTAGAATTGGATACATAAAGGCAAGTTGAACCCGAGAGTTGAATTTTTGTGGTGGAGAATTTTCAACAAAGCTCTTCCAACTGCTCAATTCCTGGACTATAGATGGCTCCTTAGGAATGGGAATTGTCCTAGAGGATGTAATAAATCTGAAAATGAAGATCATGATGTGGTGAGATGTGCTAAATTGAAGGAAGTTTTAAACCAACTTAGCAAATGGGGTTTTTCTATCCCAAATCTGAAATTATTAGCTGAATGCTGTAATTGGATGTCATATAACTCTTCTTCCATGATAAATCTTTATTGTAGTGTGGTATATTTTACATGGAAGTCAAGAAATAAGTTGGTTCATAATGAATGTGAAGACAGCCCCTTGATTATTGCTTCAAGTGCTTTGAGCTTTGCGTCTTCCTCTATGGATGGAATTTGTATATGGGATACTAATCAGTCTTTTGGACTGTTCAATACTCATTGGTATCCTCCTCCACCCGATTGGTTGAAGGTTAATGTGGATGCATCCCTTCTTTCTTCATACAAAGCTGGTTTAGGAGGTGTGTTTCGAGGTCATAAAGGAAGACTACTTCTAGCCTTTGGGAAGACGGTTTTGCATTGGGATATCTCAGCATTGAAACTTATGGCTACTCATACTATTAAAGAGATGATGAAGGATTGGATGTTCAAATTCAAGGGTATCATCATAAAAGGTGATAATGTCAATGTGATAAAGCATTTGCAAAAGGTTAAATCTAATGGAGATCAAAGGTATGATGTTTTATTTTTATGCAATGGGTTTAACAATGTTATATTTAATTGCATTTATAGAGGAGCCAATAAGTTAGCGGATCTTTGTGCTAACTATGGGATTATTACCTCTTTTATGTGGGAAGAAACTACTATGGATAAAGTTCCTCCTTTATTTTGGAATATCTTAGGAGGAATCTACTGTACTTGGCTAGTTGCCTTTCTTTTTGCTTTTCTTTTTTAATGCAATTTGCTGCATTTTCTTCAAAAAAAAAAAGTAGCATGCATTGTTGAGATAATTGCAACTTAATTTTTTTATTTTTGATATTCTTGCAACATGTATATTTTTTATGATTCCAAATATTATTTTTTTAATTACAATTTTTCCTAACATATTTTGAATGTATTTTTTTATTGTTTGTGTATATTAAAATTTTAGGGAAATCATACTCCATATTATTAAAGACTTCAAATCAGATTAGATTAGGGTTTATTATAAATGAAGTCTGCATTTTTCATTATATTGAGTTTGAGGAAGAGTGATTTTAATGTTGAAACTTGTTCAATATGAATTAGGTTGTTAGACCTTAGCTTATATCCTAGCGGCTAACCAAGAAGGGGCATGAATTGGTATTTTAAAAAATTTCTCTCTTTAATTTTTAAACTGATAAAAACTTTAATGATTTTTCGTAAAAAGATTTTTCAACCACAGATCAATAGAAAAAGTAAAGTAAAAAAGAAAAACAACAGAAAATAAAAGACACAAGATTTATAATGGTTCGGTCAAACAGGACCTACATCCACTCCCTAGAGGCACCCTCCGAGTATTGCACTAATACCAATAGTGTCTCTCCTTTTTCCCCCACAGCAAGGCGGAGAAGCGTTCACAAAACTCTCTTCCACCACTACTCGGTACGGTAGAGAACCATTATCCTTTTACACCCTCCAAGTAGGCAGAGTACCTCCCGCTGTTCACACTCTCCAAGTGTAAGCAGAGAACCTTTCCGCTGTTCACACTCTCCAAGTGTAGGCAGAGAACATTTCATCCTTTCACACTCTCCAAGTGTAGGCAGAGAACCTTCCCGCTGTTCACACTCCATGAGTGTCGGCAGAGAACCAGATCTCCTTGAAAGATCTTCTCACGAGAAATCTATAAGGACGAGAGAAAAGAGTGAAGTAATCACAAATCAAAATAGGTGATTCTTACCTTTGAGTACCAAGTGAATCCTTTACACTCCAGTAGAAAGAATCCTCTTTCAAACACTCTCTCACACTCTCTCCTTCAATCTGCCTTCAGTTTACATGAAGACCAATGAGCAAAAAGATTATAAGACAGTCTTAAGTGGACCTTATATAGAAAAGACAAGAAAAACCGTACAAAAACTACTAATTTTCAATTCTGTACGCACTCGATCGTCCCGAACGATCTTGATTTCGTACATACGAACAGTGTAAAAATGTTGCGTATGAACTCTATGTGAATTGAGATGAATTGACTTTATTTTACCCTATCATCATCCCGTACGAACTATGTTCGTTCGATACGAACAGTTATTTTAAAGCCTCATTGAAAACATAACTGTAGATGGTCCATATATTTAAAGAACAAAGAATATCATCCTGGGATGAATGTTCAAGTTCTTCTGGACGAACAGTATAAAGCTTGAATCCAGAGCACTTTGTCCGGGGACGAATGAGTAAGTTCGTCTGGACGATCAGAACAAAGCTTGAGTCCAAAGAACATCGTCCTGGGTTGAATGGTTTAAATCGTCTGGATGAATAGTTCAAGTTTAGAAATCAGAGAACTTCGTCCAGGGACAAACAGGGTAAATTGTCTGGATGAATAGTTCAAGTCATGGGTCCAGAGAACATCGTCCTGGGACGAATGGTTAAAGTCGTCTGGATGAATAGTTCAAAGTGAGAATTCAGAGGACATCATCCAGGAACGAATAAGAAAATTTGTCTGGACGATCAGGACTTAAAAATTTTTCTCACTTC